GTACATGCGCGCCCGCACGTGGTATTTTGTGGAAGAGCCACACTCAAGGGGCCAAAGAGCCACATGTGGCTCGCGAGCCACAGTTTGCCGACCACTGCCTTAGACAGAGAGGGTTTCTGTCTGTGTAGTCAGAGCACGAGGAGGCTCCGCTGAGGTCGGGGTCATGAGGGAGCCTTGAGAAGGCGCGGGCTGCACACAACATGTATGACCATGAGGACGTCACGCTAAGACAAGCTGGTCACTGAAGGACAAACGTGTAGACCCACTTACAGGAGGGACCTCGAGTGGCCAAGCTCAGGGAGGAGGATGGCGGGGCCCGGGCTCGGGTGAGGGGGTGATTAGGGGGGCCCGAGTGTTAGATCTGCAGGGAGGAGGACTGTGTCGCAGTGTGACCGTCCCGTACACTGACCTGGACACTTACAGTGCGAAGATGGTTGGTGCGTGTCATGTGCTTGTCACCACGACTAAGAAGTCGTGAGGGAACGGCCCTCCCAGCATTCGGTCCTCAGCGCGTTGGGCTGGGTGCCCCGGGCCTGGGTGGCTGCTCTGTGGAGCCTGGGCCTTGTTTTAAACCCTCCCCCGAGGATGTTCCCATTAACCTCTAGAGAGTGGAAGAGAGAGGGAGAGACAGAGAAACATCTCTCGCTGTGAGAGAGACACATTGATCGGTTGCCTCCTATACACACCCTGATTAGGGTCTGGGCCGGGGAGGAGCCTGCAACCGAGGTACGTGCCCTTGACTGGAATCAAACCCGGGACTCGTCGGTCTGTAGTTCAATGCTCAACCACTGAGCCACACCAGCCAGGGCCTGGGACCTTTTATTCAAACGCTCTGCAGGGTCCAGACCTTTCAGCAACCAAGCAATAGCAGATGCCACTCTGGTGCCAGGAGGCAGATCTGTGCCCTGTGGCCTCGGTGGCGCCCGGTCTCAGCCAAGCCGTGGGCCGAGCCGGCGGGAGGCACCGAGGTGGCGCCCTCACGGTGCCCTGTGCTCTCTCCATGTGCAGAATCCTTCGGCTGCCGCAGTATCTTCCGCAAAACCTCGGACCCCAGTTGTGTGGCTTCCTCCTCCATGGAGTTCATCCCCGGCCCCCCGCCCAGGACCCCCCGCATTATCAAGAAGCCGGAGCCCCCTCCACAGGGCCCGGGGGGCAGCAGCATCGCCCCCAGAGAGGAGCCGCTGGTGCTAGACATGGTCCGCTCCTTCGATGCACACCTGCATCAGCCCCGGGAGCACCTGCGTCGAGTGCACACCTGCATCAGCCCCGGGAGCACCTGCGTCGAGTGCACACCTGCACCGGCCCCGGGAACACCTGGATCAGAGTGCACACCTGCGTCGGCCCCGGGAGCACCTGCGTCGAGTGCACACCTGCATCAGCCCCGGGAGCACCTGCGTCGAGTGCACACCTGCATCAGCCCCGGGAGCACCTGCGTCGAGTGCACACCTGCATCAGCCCCGGGAGCACCTGCGTCGAGTGCACACCTGCATCAGCCCCGGGAGCACCTGCGTCGAGTGCACACCTGCATCAGCCCCGGGAGCACCTGCGTCGAGTGCACACCTGCACCGGCCCCGGGAACACCTGGATCAGAGTGCACACCTGCGTCGGCCCCGGGAGCACCTGCGTCGAGTGCACACCTGCATCAGCCCCGGGAGCACCTGCGTCGAGTGCACACCTGCATCAGCCCCGGGAGCACCTGCGTCGAGTGCACACCTGCATCAGCCCCGGGAGCACCTGCGTCGAGTGCACACCTGCATCAGCCCCGGGAGCACCTGCGTCGAGTGCACACCTGCATCAGCCCCGGGAGCACCTGCGTCGAGTGCACACCTGCACCGGCCCCGGGAACACCTGGATCAGAGTGCACACCTGCGTCGGCCCCGGGAGCACCTGCGTCGAGTGCACACCTGCATCAGCCCCGGGAGCACCTGCGTCGAGTGCACACCTGCATCAGCCCCGGGAGCACCTGCGTCGAGTGCACACCTGCATCAGCCCCGGGAGCACCTGCGTCGAGTGCACACCTGCATCAGCCCCGGGAGCACCTGCGTCGAGTGCACACCTGCATCAGCCCCGGGAGCACCTGCGTCGAGTGCACACCTGCACCGGCCCCGGGAACACCTGGATCAGAGTGCACACCTGCGTCGGCCCCGGGAGCACCTGCGTCGAGTGCACACCTGCATCAGCCCCGGGAGCACCTGCGTCGAGTGCACACCTGCATCAGCCCCGGGAGCACCTGCGTCGAGTGCACACCTGCATCAGCCCCGGGAGCACCTGCGTCGAGTGCACACCTGCACCGGCCCCGGGAACACCTGGATCAGAGTGCACACCTGCGTCGGCCCCGGGAGCACCTGCGTCGAGTGCACACCTGCACCGGCCCCGGGAACACCTGGATCAGAGTGCACACCTGCGTCGGCCCCGGGAGCACCTGCATCGGCCCCAGGTGCTCAGGGGACGGCTGTTTCCAGGCCCCTCACTGTGCTCTGCTTGCCTCTGGATCGCTCTCCCTTCACCACGGTCGCCGCACAGGGACCGAGGCCGTGTCCTCAAGCCCCTCATCCAGCCACGGTTTCTTGTCCTGGATCACCAGCCAGGCCTCGCGGGAAGATGGGCAGGAGCCACAGCCACGGGATGGCCCCTCAGCGGGCAGGGGCAGCTGGGCACAGACCGAGCCGGACAGTGGGGACCCGCGAAAGGGGCTCATTCTGCAGCGAGGTTCTGCCAGTTTCTTTCTTGGGTGAAACTTGCTGCTGGTGGAGCCTCTTCCCCGGGGTGGCCTTTCTTTAGGGGAGGTTCCACCGGAGTCACATGATGTGTAAGCCCACGGAGAGCTGGGAATGAGTCCACCCAACGTGTTTGCGGGAGAGGATGAGCGTGGAGGCATGAGGAGTCACGCAGGCCATGCTGTGGTGGCTGGTGCCCATGTGACCTGCGTGCCCGGCTGCCCTGTGTTTGCGCCATTGTGTCAGCGTGGCCCTGACCCTCGGGAGGCGGAGCGCAGTGTCCGTGGGTCATTTAGAGAGAAGATGGTTGAGGTGGCGGGTGGATGCATCTGGAAGGCACGGTCCCTCCACGCAGGTGCAGGCGGTGTCCTCGCCGCCCGGAGAGCACGCCCGCGTGTTCCAGCGGAGCAGGTTTGCCATGAGCTCGCCTGGAGGGATCACGGGCCAAGTTCAGCACCGCGTCTTCTCAGAGGAAAGCAGCTCCGAGTCTCTGCCCCGTGCTCACACCTTCCCCAGGACGGAACCAACGCGCCCCTCGGCTCCACATCCTCGCCCCCTGCGTGCGCGTCTGTGGGCCCCGTGCGGCCTGGGGCTGGCGCCTGAGCACCAGTGGTCCTGAGCAGCCCTGGAAAGAGAACTGGCACAGGGTGGACAGGGGCTAATGCAGGGGCAGCTGACACAGCGGCGGGTCCTCCGTGCTGGCTGGTGCAGCCTGGTCTCCTTTGCTCACGAAGAGAACTGCCTCCCAAAAGAGGGGGGCGTGTGCTCCCCTCCTCCGGGTCCCGGTGCTGGTGCCCCGCAGCCCCTGGGGAGCCCCAACTGTGTGAAAAGCCGGGGCCGGTTCCCCATGATGGGCATCGGGCAGATGCTGAGGAAGCGACACCAGAGCCTGCAGCCCCC